GTCGCCCGTCGGCGTCGAGGAGAGGTGGTTGCAGCCTGGAGCAATCTGGACAAGAGTGGCTTGCCATCGATTGCGCTATGCCCCACCTTACTTGTTAGCCTGGAGCAAAAGTAGTACATTGCCTACATTTTTTTTTCTAAAAAATTTACATGCCTATTGCTGGACAAAATAATATTTCTACCATCTTCACCTACTTGTTGGCCAACCATGTATACGCAGTGCCTCGTGCAACTGCCGAATGTATATTAAGTTCCATGGTTACCTATCTCGTGCTCCTCGTGATCACGATACATATGTCTTGTTGTTTTGTTTGTCCACAAACTTGGATTGCTTTCATCGTACTCGGAGACCTTACCCGTAAAATATTGTTAGTGAGAAATGTATGAAACAATTTCATATATACATATACCCTAGCGCACAAAGTCCTGTCGTCTGTTTGAATTTGTTTTATTTTCTTTCGCGGAAAATTAAAACACACTATTAATAAAAAGCATTTTTTCAAGCGGCTAGATAAACCGCCACTAAAATGATAACTACTGTAGAAATAATGGGATATTTTCATAAGGGAGCAAAAACCTCATGTGGAAATCTTTTTTTACATGAGGTCTGGTTAACCTACCGCCCCATGTACATATCGATTTGTACAGTGGACTCCAAGTCTTCAACACCCCCAAAAAAAAAACTAGGTGGAAAAAGTACCCCTCAACCGAAATATGGTGCTCCCTTCGTCAAGAAAGAATGCAAATCTAGCATAGTATTATGATTTTACTATCTTAAATTTGACCAATTATAGATAAAAAAATACCAATATTTATTATATCAAATAAATACTATTAAATTAATTATGAAATATATTTTATAATAAATTAATTTAAAGCTATAAATAAAAATATTATTCATTATAAATTTGATAAAAAATGAACCACTTTAACTGACACACCAACCTATAGTTAAATTCTTGGACGGAGGGAGTAGTTTTGCAAGACCGGCAAAAATTGCGCTCAGTAGACAAACCAGTGGCCCACTTTTGACGTCACTTGGTTGACCAGCGAGTTCTAGAAGGGACTAACCATTGTACTCGACTGCTAACATCATTTGTTCGGTGCGTTACCCGTTGCCATCACATATCGTCTTGCATAATGACATGTCTCTCTGGTCATCATCAAATTGCTTTTAATTGTCCAGGATACTCGTTTTTTCCACCGCTGCGTCTTCTAATGAGGGTCATTCCCGATATTGCAAATTTTGACTTCTATCAGTTGCATTGTTCAGCAGATCACGCGATCACTTCTATAGAACTGATTTTAGCAGGCAACCTCTCTGATTAACTAGGGAGACAAATATATTTAGGGCCGTCTCCGAAAAAGGTTGGGCAGCCTTCAGAAAAATACCCATCTCCGAAAATCCTTTATAGAGGCAGATGGCCTCTGAAAATCATCAATTAACACAGGCGGTCGCGATGTCCGTCTCTGTAAATTGATTTTTTTTAATGGACTCTTACGATGCCTGTCTTTGAAAATCGTTATTAACAAAGGCGGCAATTCTAAGTATATGTCTCTAAAATTGATTTTTAAAGGCGAGCGTCTTAAAATATCCGTCTCTATAAATATTTGCATCCAAAAATAATTCATAACCTTTTCATATGAATTCGAAAGAAGACAAATATAAAAATTGTAGCTCTTGACACGATATATAACTTTGTAGTTGAATTTTTTATTTATTTAAAAATGTTTAGAGAACCAAAATATTGTTTGAAGCTCATGGATTTTGAAATTTAAAATTTAAAATTTTTTGAACAACCATGGATGTTGACATGATAAAGTTGTATTTCTCAATACAGTCTACAACTTTATAGTTGAATTTCTTTTGATTTGAAGTCGTTTAGAGTCTAAATATGTGTTTTGTGTTCATAGATTTTGAAATCCAAATTTTACTATTTCTAAACGACCTTGAATATTTATATAATTAATATCAAAGTTGTAGTGGTCGAGCTAATCTACATGTTTTCTGTTGATAAGTTTTTTATTTAGTTTTTTATATCTCAAATATGTGTTTTGAATTAACATATTTTAAGATTCAAAACTTTTAATTTTTCAAACAATCTCGGATGAGACACGTCCTATACCAAAGTTGTGTAGTGCTTGACAAGATTTAAAATTTGTAGTTAAAACTTTTTTCATTTGAGTTCTCAGTTAGTAGCCAAAGTAGTCAATATAAGATTATGAATTATTTATATAAACAAATAGAATCCTATATATATTCACAAGTGAGTGTGTGGTGTAGTGTTCGTGTGGTGTTAGTGCTGAGTGATAGATCACGAGTTCTATAATATCTTAAGATATCTGTCTCTGTTAATCAATTTATGAAGGCGACGCAAGCATGTTGTTCGCCTCTATTAGAGACAGACGGCTTGTCCGCCTCTAAAAACAAAACGCTCCTTCTGAAAATCCTCTCCGTGTGGTCCCATGCTTATGTTCCTCCATGGTCCAGGGAGTGTTATCTCCTCTCCTCAGGCTGTCCGGTGTTCACTATCTTCTAGATTTTGCTTGTTTATTTATGAGTTCTTCTCTAGACTTTGCTCCACTTATTTCCTTACATTCCTAAGACTTAAATGTACCTATCTACACATGTTGGCATACATAATAGTCCTATTGAACATACATGTCTTTCAAAAGACCAAAACCACAATGGACACCATGTTCTCTACAACTACAAATCGAAGTTGTAGATCTTGTTGATCTCTACATTTTTATATAACTTTATCTTCATCCAACTTCATACGAAATTGTTATCTATTTGTATGTGCAACATTTAGAAATTAAATGGATTTTTAGTGAAGGTTATTTAAAGCACCATCTCTGGAAAAATGTGTACTTTAGTGAACGCTGCTAAATTTATTTGTAGGTTGAGTTGCGCTTCTAGTCATTCTTTTTATCTATGCATAATAATATTAAAGAAAAGAAAAGTTTCTTGGTCCGTTATCACTCACAACCATGGATCCGACGGACCCAATCTCTCCCATGGCTATTGATGGTGCTATTGGTACCAGATTGGGCAGTCGATGCACTAGAAAGAATCTCAGTGGAGGCCTCTTCCTCGAGAGTGGAAAGTGTGGCACCGACTTGGAACGGTAACTGTCCCATCATGCCGACTAAACGTGATGAGTTAGATGAATCCCTAAGTGGCGGAACTCCTGGCCAATGCACAATATTTCCCTCTGCCGTAGCCGAGAAAACCAAGCCTTGTTGGGCATCTGTCAGAGGGATCTCTTGATCCATTGTCGTGATCAAAGCAGATTGCATAATCTTCGAGACCGACTCCCGGTAAACAGAAGCTGAATTTCTAAGTCCGAGTGGGAATTGAACTAGGTGATGGGCGTGGATGTCCCGATGTCTTGGAGGTTGACTTGGACAGGGTGACCGTATCTGAGTAAGACTCGAGCTGCTTCAACTGATTCCGAGTCCGAGTAGGATCAGAAATCGAAAAATCGTCGATGAGGCGACTTTCGAGCTTACCGGAGTCGTCCGCCGTGCAGATCTAGGAACCGAAGACGAAGATCGACCCCGCTGGAAAAACCATGATGATGTCAAGGTCCATCAAGCTCTCGAAAGTGAATTTGCCGAAAGCCCCTACCTGGTGCGCCTCAGTGTTTGATGACCTGTAACACGTCACCGGACTACCCTGGACGATGTTTGGTGGGTTTCGGTGTATGCAGAACTCGATGGTGAACGCAAAGGCACCGATTTATACTGGTTCAGGGTTGAATAGTGTAATACCCTAGTCTAGTTAGACGTGATACCTTGCGTTGGATTATTGTGTATGATTGTGTTGTACAAGGGGATACGCCTTGCCTCTCTTTATATAGTCCTGAGGGCAGACGCATTGATCTAATCCTAGTCGGATACGGCAGAAGACTTCTAGTTCTATTACAGAAGTTAACTTTCCTAAAATCCGACTAGGTTGATCCTTCATATGTTGGAGTACGTGCCACCATGTCTCATGTCCTTAAGCAGATCGTGGGTCACCCTAGGTCCATGGCGAGTAATCAGCCCTACGAGGAACCCTTAGGATCCTGGTCCGTCACACGCCTGTAAAGCTAGAGTAGCATGCCAAGCACGGAGCAGAGCCTGATTACAAAGTGAATTCGAATACGGAATGTTTCCATGGTTCATCACTCTCTCCGTACCATGATTCATGAGTTAAAACAATGTTGACGTATGGTACAGAGTCCAATCCATAAATGAATTGGAACCCATGATGGGATCATGATAAATCACTAAGCCTCCCATATCTAAAAAAGTTAAAAGTAGCAAGTTGAAACAGATGACATAATCATTGCATAAATTTCTAAGATGCAAGTCGTCAAGGGACCGCACAATTGTATGTTTCGTCGTAACGGCAAATTTGATAGTATATACAGTATTTGTACGTAGTTGGTTGGTGATACATGCTGTCTGAATCACTGGTTACGTGACAGAAAATAAACTGATAAGGGGCCCATCACGCCAAAATGAGAGTTGACCTAAAAGTAAGAGGGTGCTTGGTTACCCCTCCTAAATTTTAGTCGCTATCCCATCAGATGTTTGGACACATGCATGGAGTATTAAATATAGACTAATTATGAAACTAATTACATAGTTTGCGACTAATTTGCGAGACGAATCTTTTGAGTCTAATTAGTCCATGATTTGATAATATTTTTCTACAGTAAACATGTGCTAATGAATGGTTAATTAGGCTTAAAAATTTGTCTCGTGGAGTACTGACGGATTATATAATTTGTTGTTTTATTAGTATCCAAACACCACATGTAGCATCCTCCCGACACACCTCCTAAATTTTAGTAGTTGGATCCATACACCCCCTAATATCCTTTCTGAGTCCTAGATAGCTATATCTCAAAATTGGCGAGGTTTATAAATAGGGTGGCATGCACAAGGTAGCAAGTGGCAGGTGGAAGGCACGCATAGCAGCTGCAGGCAGCGCTGAGGGCTGAGGCCATGCATCAAGCAATCATGCAAGTCCTTCTACTGCTCCCGATAGTTCTCCCGGTTGTCAGCATGATCGTCCGGCGTGCAGCAACGCCGATCAAGGCACGCCTGGCCACCCTCAAGTCCGTTCTAACAAGTAAGCCACAATTTATGTTCGTCACGGATTGCGCCACGGTGCATCACCTTCTTGTGCGGGGCAGCAAAGCCGCCGCCGGCGGCGGCTCCTTCTCCAACCGCTTGTCGTCCATGTCACCCAGCGCCTTCCTCTCCGGCCAGCTCTACCACAACATCACCTCGGCACCCTACGGCCAGCTCTGGCGCGCCCTCCGCCACAACCTCACCTCGGGAGTCCTCCACCCGACGCACCAGCACAGCTACGCGGCCGCACGGCGTCAGGCGCTACGGGGCCTCATCGCGGACCTCAGGGCGCAGCAGCTCACCAACGGCGTGGCGCTCGCCGCGGAGAGCATCCGTGGCGCGTTGTTTCGCGTCATCTCCACCATTTGCTTCGGCGACGGTGTCGACGCGGCCGTGGTCCGCGCCATGGACGACGTCCAGATGGAGCTAGTCATGGCCCTATCTACAATGCGCATGTTCATGTCCATGTCCGTGCCGTTCCAGGTGGCGTCTAGGCTTACCTACCACAAGCGGTGGAACAAGCTGGCCGCGATACGGCAGAAGCAGGAGGAGCTGTACCTCCCGCTCATCGATGGCTGCCGCAGCCATCGCTGGCACTCTGACGAGGCTCTGACTTACGTGCACACGCTCCTCGACCTCCAGGTTCCGGTAGAACTCGAAGCAGACGACGAGGCAGGAGCTGCTGAGAGGGGAAGCAAAGGCAGCAGCGGAGGCTCGAGGACGGTGAACTCGTGGGACTCTGCTCGGAATTCCTTGGTTCCGCAACTGAAACCACTGTCGCGTCACTGCAGTGGATCATGGCGAACCTGATAAAACGCCCAGGCATACAGGAAGCCGTCCGGAGGGAAATAGAAGCTGCTGTGGACGCCGATGCTGAGGAGGTCGGGGAGGAGGTTCTAGGGAAGCTAAACTACCTCAATGCTGTCATCTTGGAGGCCCTCAGGCTACATCCCACCACTGCGCGGGCATTTAGGCAGGTAAGAGCACCTCTGCAATAAAACGTAGCAAGATATCTGCGTCTTCCGTCTATGACCACATAGCACGAGAACCTAAGTGATAATAATAAGTCTGGTGCCAACGCAATCATTTCATCTTATACAGCCGACGCTTGATCGTTGCTTCTACAAGTTCAAGTTCGAATTTGCTCTAGTTGTGTGCTACGAGCAATGTCCAGATTTCATCCTGCAATGGCTAGACAGCCTTGTGTAACCTCTTTGATTTTCTTTGTTTCATTTTTTGTCTCTTGAACTTATTTGTTTTGCACACTTTTTGTTTTAATATATCTCCAGTAGGAGGCAACCCCTCCTGTTACCATTAAAAAATAATAATAAATCTAGGCAATTTTACATGAAAGCCCTCATATAGTGTGACCAAATGCACCGGCAATTTATGCAATCTTAGAGAAAAAAATCCTAACGACCTTCAAAATTTCTCAATTTGTGTAATGTAATTAGCTAGTACTCTGTGGTAGCAATTAGCCACGTACAGGCATTCATAGGTTATCTTTTTGTCATTATATCCATTCAAATTAATTAATTAGATGGTATAGTTCTTTCAATTAATTCACTACGTGAAAAATAGTTTGTAGCAACGGATTTTTTTTAGGGGCGGCTGACATTGGAGCAGCCCCTATAGTGGCGTGCTCGGGCTCCAGCACAGCAGCCGCCCCTACAAATGGCACAGTAAGGGCGGCTGGTAATATGAGCCGCCCCTACAAATGTGTCGATTTGTAGGGACGGCTGGTATTACCAGCCGCCCCTGGTATGCCCATTTGTAGGGGCGGCTGAATCACCAGCCGCCCCTATAAATGTCCGCTGTATATATAGCAGCCACCTTCTTTTAGACTCATCCTTTCGCTGGCCACCGAATCATACCTGAGACCGCATCTGCATCATCCTCAGCCACATCCGCATCGCCTCCTCCGCTCGCTCACCGCTGCATCGCCTCCTCCACGCCCTCTCCCTCTCGGATCTCTCTCCTCACGAAGGTTCGCGACCCTCACAGCACGCGAGCAGCCGCCATCGAGCTGGCGGCGGTGCAGACGATGGCCGCACGGCGATGGGACCGGAGGTGCCGCCGATGCGGGGCCACTCACCGAGCCGCACGCGTGGACGAGGTCGCTCGTGCCTCCATCCAGCGGCTCCCCATTGGCCCTCGAGAAGACAACGCGCGCGGGTCTCTTCACGGCGGCGGCGGCCACCTCAAGCAGTCACGGTGGCGGCAGGATTCCTCATCTGCGGCAAGCCCCTGATGCGGCATCGGCGGTGGCGCGACTTCTTCATGCGCGGCGGGCTCCTGATGCGGTGTTGGCGGAGCGGCTCCCTGATCCGGGGCGGTGGCGCGGTGGAACCGGCGCACGGGCTGCTGAATCCCTGATCTGCGACAGTAGTAGTAGTTCGTCCACCGGGCACACCTGAAGGCAACGACGACGTTGGCCAAGGCAAAATTATCCGTGGCACCCAGCTCAGTGGAGATTTAGGGTTCGTTTGCAAAAATTCGTGAACTAGGGTTTCGGGAATTTGGGGAGTAAACTTTGATTTGACTGGGATCTGCATAATCCCCTCCTTGGATGTGCTAATCCAAAACCCTAGCCCCTTAATGGTCAATGCTTATAAGCCAATCATCGGCTTAATGAAATTAGGAAGAAATCAAGTGTTCCCTAAATACTGTCATTGGTACTTGGTAGTGCTATGCTCAGAAAATAGTACCAAATTATAAGTCGCTTTGACTTTTTTGGTACATCCATTTTGCTATGTATTTAAATATAATATTATGTCTAGACACATAGCAAAATGGATGAATCAAAAAAGTTGGTAGAACAGATTATTATCACAAAAATAGTGCAGTGACCCCAATAAACTTTGGCATAAATATTTGTTTCACACAACTTGAGTGTTAAGCTGATCTTTTAAAAGTCATATCTTCAGGTGGTTGTGTTGCTACTTGATTTTGTATTTTTTTCATGGCATTTATTTTACAGTACTTATTTATGCAAGTTTCATTTCAGCAACCTGATGAAACCAAACAATCTACTTTGAAAATCTCACAGGAGATGGTAAGATATTTTTTTCTTCATGATAAGTGTGAATGTATGGTCTCTTAAAAAGTGCTCCCTACAATACTTATGAATTTGTTATTATCTTGTTTACTCACACTGACTAACATTTTTTGAAGAAACAAGACCGTCAGAGCATCCCAAAGCTACTGATCTGGAAACATTACCTGATAGTGAAGTGAGTATATGAATGAAATATGCTTACTTCTGGCTTCTTGCCTGATTTGTTCTGTACTTATTTAGTTATGGCTTCTAGCAACATTCAACTATTTCATAACAAGAGTAACAGTTATGATTTCTAGAGCAGGTTCGAGGTGACTGGTGTGCTAGGAGTGATGATAATATGGTTGTCTTGTGCGATATAGCCAAGGAACTAAAGGAAACATTTCTTACATTTTAAATCAACCATGTTTTGAGGGTAGGTCTCACATTTTCCATTGTCATTTGCCCTTGTTCACATTTACTGCTAGATTCGTGGTACAACATGTGTTAGCTAGACATTAGCATAGCATTAGTTCAGAATGGATGGAGTGGCAAATGATGATCAAGGCTGTTGCTTCCAGTTATCCCAACATCAGGTGCTAGTTAACATATTTATTCTAGAATTTCATCAATCTTTATGACCTGAAAACATCTAGGTTGACAGCTCTATAGATTTGAAAGAGTTTCCTAGTTTGATTTAGCAGTCAAGACAAGATGGTGATTTTCAGCAGCCCTCTGAATACCTCTCGAGTAGGAACTCTAATTTTGATCTGTTAGCATGGCAGGCACATATATAAACTCTAGATTTCAAACGCATTTCAAGTTTTCTCCAGGACTTACTGGCAACTAATCCTTGAAAACATTGTTACTCAAAGTTGTTTGTTACACAGGAATTCAATTCAGATGCTGACGTTCAAGCTAACTTTGGAGCCCAACTTGCTGGTATGAAGCTGCTGTGATTACCTCACCTTTGAATTGCTAGATACAACTCTACAAAACAGATACGTGATTTGATCTCTTCCTTCGTACAGTTGATGAAGTTCAAGAGTTGTCCGTTTGTTGAGTTGCCATTGGCAGAGAAATCAAAACTTGGGACTTGAGAGTATAGACAATTAATACTAATTGACCCAGGTGATTACATCACAGGGTGCAGTTGATATTAGATATTCACATCTCTGTGTAATGACACATTCGGCAGAACATCTGTGTAGTGCCAATCCACTGCTGAATACATAGTTGTTTAGCTTTATGTCACTGTTTCTTTAGTGGTAAATGATCGATGTATGGTGATTTCATCAATCTACTGTGATTCACAAAAAAAATATGATTGTTCTGCTCTAAAAATTTCAAGTTTATAGAATTGGAGACGTCCTAATTAACTCCTCTAAAGACACAATTGCTTATATCCATTAGCCAAGGGCCAGTATATCCTTCTTGTAGCAAACTAACGGTCTTGGATTTGTCTATTTATTTCGCAAGTTGTCGCTTATTTATTTTTAGGTAAAGTCTGTTTTCATCCTCGAACTTGCACGATAGTCTGATTTTTGACCTAAAACTATGAAACTCAGTGACACACATCCTTTAACTATCAAAAGCGGACAAATTTGGTCCTCTGTTGGCTGGGCTTAAGTTTTTTTTCTAATAATAATAAAAAACCGGTTTGATCTCTAGAAATTCATAGTTAATGTATCTTAAATCATAAAATATAAAACTAATTTTAATTTTCTTCTAAAATGTCATCTATGTGTCGGTGCTATATTTAGAGTTATTCGGATCTTACTTTTGTTTTAAATAAATATTGAGTGCAGCTATAGAAACAGAAATAAACAATTCTAAATATCTATATATAGACTCATAAACAAGTAGAGAATATTTTTAGAAAAAGGTACTATTTTAGTTTTTTTCTAATTTAAAAATAAATTATATATGATTTTTTAGATAGTAAATTAGATTTTTATTGTTCATAAAATAGAAAACCACGTTTAAAACCATCACGTGGACTAAATTTGTCCCGGTTTAATAATTGGAGGGTGTTTGTTAGACGGTTTCGTAAGTTTAAAGTTCGCGATCAGACTATCGCTAAAAATGGATTCTAACCTTTATTTTTCATCATGCTCCGTACTTGCTAGACGTATCACGTGCACTTATTTTTGAAAGAAGTGTCACGTGCACGTTCAGCTGCACATTGTTCCAAATTCTGATACGCATTCCATCAGAAAAGATTCTGATACACATTTATATTATATTATTTAAATAAAAGAGAATCTGATACGCATTTTATAAAGTAACAGAGGATACGATAACGAACCATTGTGTATCTTCGGTCTGTGCGGATCGAGGCCAGAAATTACTTTCCTTAATAATTATTAAAAGAAGTCATCATGTACCGCAAGGTCGTGTTCCTTCCGTGTCGAAGAGGGATCATATTGCGACCTCCAACGGCCCAAGCAGTAGCAGGAGAAATGAAAAGCAAAAGACAATGAAGAAAGGAACAGCCGAACAGGTAAACAGATGGAGGATTAGACATGCATTTAACCACACACCACTGTGCACCGATTGACAATTAGCGCCTAGTGCTTAGTAGTAGCTAGCCACACAACACAGGTGTAGTATCATCGTCTCTCCTCTCGTGCTGTACATGATATCACAAGCAGAATTAGCAGCTATTTATGCAAGCGTGTGGCAGTAGGAAGGTCTACGCTGCCAGGACGTGGTGCACACGATGGGAGATTAGGCCTGGTTTAGTTCTAAAAAATTCCACCCCAAACTATCACATCGAATCTTGCGACACATGCATGGAGTATTAAATATAAACGAAAAAAAACTAATTGCACAGTTTGGTTGGAAATCGCGAGACGAATGTTTTAAGACTAATTAGTCCATGATTAGCCATAAGTGCTACAACAACTAACCTGCGCTAATGATGAATTAATTAAGCTTAATAAATTCGTCTCGCAGTTTCCAGGCGAGCTATGTAATTAGTTTTTTTATTAGTATCCGAAAACCTCTTTCGATATCCCCGAAACATCCGATGTGACATCCAAAATTTTTAATTTCGCGAACTAAACGGGCCCTTATTTTATGCCCTAGTACACAAATCATCCCTTGTCACACACAGAGCAGGTACATGCACGGTCCACTGCACGGATCTGCAGGTACTCGTAGGGCTCGT